TATATATATATATATTATATTTGAGGTGCATATAACTAACGCAAATCTGCAAAGAAACATTAAGTAATCAGAATTTTGAAAGGGGAGTTGACTTTTAAACAATTACTCTTAAGTTTTAAACGGTATTTTACAAAGGTGTGTTTTTCAGAGTGACTGCACTAAAAGCAAGAATTAACATTAAATGTATGATTTGTTTTTGTCTTCCTGTGAAATGCTGTTGCAGTACATTGCACTGAGCTGCCATGGAGGGTTTGGAGGAGAAACTCAAAGGTCTGTCCATCGCCCGGCGTTCCCATCCGGAGGAGCCTACCTACCTGCTGGATGTGGCCCTGCAGCCAATCAGCCTGCTGGCGGTGTCCTGCTCCAACTTCACCATCCACCTTCACAACAAGGACACACTGAGTCTGATGGGAGAGTATCGGGGCCACAGTGGGCCTGTTTGTGGGGTTACCTTTGCCCACACCTCCCCTGACCTACTCTACTCTGGTTCTGCTGATGGGACGGTCCGAGGATGGGACGTCCGCCGCCCTGGGACAGAGGCAGTGCAAACATTTAGGAGTGATCCATTGCACTGCTACTGCAGCTTCGACCTCAGCTGCAGTGACACGCTCCTGTGTGCAGGCACCGAGCAGGTCAACGATGAGGACAGCTTTCTGGTGTTCTGGGATGCCAGGAAGCCTGGAGGGGGGCTTCTGGGAGTGTACTCAGAGTCGCACAGTGATGATATCACTCAGGTGTGCTTCCACCCTCGGGACAGAGACCGCCTGGCGTCCGGTTCCACAGACGGCCTTGTTAACGTTTTCGACCTGAGCCGTGGAGCAGAGGAGGAGGCGCTGCTGGCCACGTGTAACAGTGACTCCTCCGCCAGCTCAGTGTGCTGGTCCGGGGCAGACTACACCCAGCTGGGGTGTCTCAGTCATGACGAGGGGCTGCATCTGTGGGATCTGAGCCAGCTGGACACAGAGGAGCCTCTCACCCTCTTTTGCATCTCTGATGCTCGTAGCCTGAATCTGCTGCCTAACGGAGGGGGTGTGGATTACCTGGTAGGGGGGAGGTGGCTGGAGGAGGCCCAGAAGCTGCTGGTGGTGGGTGGGAAGAACAGTGGGGATCTCCACCTGATGGAGTGTGATGACAGGGGTCTCCATCTGCTGAGGAGCCTGGAGGGTGGCCACTCCTCCACAGTGCGCTGTTTCCTGTGGGACGCGGCAGGGGAGGCTCTGGTCACTGGGGGAGAGGATGCTCAGCTGTTGCTATGGAAACCAGGAGGGGAGGAGCTGGCAATAGGTAAAAGGGAGTCCATGAAGAGCGCATCAGCTTTGAGACTCAAATCCAGACTGCATAAAATACATGGCAACCAGAGAGTGAAGAAGGCAACGTGAGGATGAGCTGACTAAGCTGTGGCGGCTGCTCCCTAACGGGCAACATTTTAATTCAGAGAAAGAACATTTAAACTGGATTTTTATTTCAACATACACAGTTTGTGACTGTACCAAGCACAGTCCCGTGGTGATTCAGGCTGTTGGAGCAAATGGTCATTCACATTAGAGACAAATTCTTTCTGGTGACTCGGAGGCCTTTATGTGGAGTTTTTAATCACTGACAACATGTTTATGGCTTTTTATAATGACTGCAAAATAATGCACATGGTTGCATATGAGACGGGCTCATTATTAAATACAGATGAACAGAGGAACTCATTTTCCAGGAGATTCCCTGGAGAAAAAATGCACTTCTTTAAACTAAATATCCCCATAAAATACACAAATGTATAGTGGCAGACACAAACATGCATTTGTAGTAAACAACTCAGGTGCAAAACTAGTAGAGCTTCTCAGATATGTCATGGTAGTTCAGTGTTTTTACTGCTAATTTGGTAAAAGCTTCCAAACATCAGCGATAAGAATAACCAGCAAACACACTGGAGTTGCTGATACAATGTATTTCTACATTACTTCCTGTCTTTTTATGGTGGATCTGTTTACCAGAATGAATTAAAAGTTTTTGACCGTTTTCATCTCATGACTTTTACTTACATTTTAGAGTAAAATGTTTTGACAAGAATTTGTTTTGTTCTCCAGATGTTGGTAGAGCAGTGGCACCACCACTGTTAAAGAGTAATTCATTGTAAAAACTGAAGCATTTTAGTATGGATGCTGGGATTTATTTTCAGTATAGTACAGATACCAACTCTGAGGTACATGTGTGATATGTGGATATTTAAATATACTATTTGATGCATTTCAGGCTAACATCAATTTTAAACACCAACTATAATTACTACTTACTTTGCAGATTAAGATTTTAAAAACTGTAAAGAGAATATAACTGATGCATTGACACGGTGAATTAACACTATATAAACACATATGGGTAAAATTCACTCCACTGCAGCAGCAACAACATCAAAGTGCTGCTAACATGGTGCTGTTAATGCATCATTAATGATCCAAATATATAATTTATGTAAAAGATGACATATTGCATCCACGGTAAGCATTACAGTACATTGTAGTTTTATAGCATAGTGTATGATTGTCTTTTTCTCCAGCCTTTATAAACAATAGGTTTCAGGTTCACCTGTGCCCACATGAACAACTTACACAGATTTTTCTGACTTTAATCATGTCTGTAGTTAATACTGACCAATAAAAAAATTCCTTCTGATGTCCTTCCTGTGTAAGATATGTGGGAGAAAATTTACATCCCTCTTTTGGTGCCAAAATGTATTAAACGTTTATCTGAAGTTAATATGGGGCATTACCAACACTGTCCAGGGAGAATTTACACTAAAAAGACAAACTTTGGAAAATATTCACCTAGTTTTATAGACCGTTTATATTGTGTTTGCTGAAGCCGTATAAAAGCTTCAGATAAACTTCAGAATGCATTTTTTTATCAAACAAATGCTGTAAGTTTAAGCTGATCTTTTAATGGCCACTATGAACAGGAGGGATGATTTCATCAAGGAAAACCTTTTTCAGTGTTTATATGTGCACCCATGCTGGGTTATCAGTCAGGATAAGCAGGCCATTGCTTAGGGGTGCCCCCCTCCCAATAACCAATGAGATAATGAAAACAAAAACAAATTAAATGAAAAAAATTAATTCAATTTAAGGTGCCTGAAGAAATAATAAAACTGACATATGTAATGGCTGGGGTCCAGATAACTGGTTTCCCCAAGGCCCCCTAGGAGGTCATTAATTTGAACATGTGTGCATTTGACAAAAGTTTTAGGACAAACCTAAAAACTGTGAACTTGTGCTTTAGGCTTTATTTGATTTTCAAAAAAGGCTATGAACAAAACCATCACGAAAAGATCTTGTGAGAGAAAAATGTGAATGGAACACGTTGCTCCCTTAACCTCCTGAACGGACATGCTCAAGTATTGGCTGTATTCAAAGTAGACCTGTATATTATGGTTATGTAACTCTTCTTGGTATCCCTCTCTTTTATCCCGGGGATTTGCACAGCGATGCTTCGGCTCCGAGCCTGGTTAAGATGTTATAAATCTACAGTAAAGCTGGGTCCAATCGGCCTCAAGGTACGGGTAAACAGTGCTGAGGTGCAGGGCTGGGCCTCGGACAGGTTTAGCCTCATTTCAGCACGCTGTGCTGAAAACTCCGCACACACTGCTTTCTACCTATTCTCTTTCCTTGTCCCTTCTCCTCCACCTAACCGACGGATTCAGAGCCTTAGGTCCCTCCGCAGTGATTGACAACATCGGCTGTCCAATAACAACGGCTGTCATCCTTCCGACAGCCAATCGCCGTGGTGCGTCGATCTGAACGCCTTCAAGCACGCTAAGTTGCGTCCCTGTTATGTGTGCCATGGTCTCAACCCAACAGTGTTGACAATAGGGTGAAAAGAAAGATTCCCGAATCATAAACGAGCTGAAGAAAACGTCTAACTCCAGGGGTTTGGGGAAGACAAGCAAGTGAATCAGTAACAGGAATGTAACTGCGTAAATCTAATCGTTTTATATAGCTGTACTGTGTCATTAATGGGAGTTTAGGGATTATTCCTTTGGAAAGAAAAACGGTACTCGTGGGTTTGGCTGTTTCAGGCCAACATTTTCCTGCTGTTCCGCCGCTGCTTGGGAAACGCCGTTTGCACCGAGGTGGAGGTAGCCTAACAGTTAGCCCGGTAGATTTCCTAACACAGGATAACTCCTCGCCGTCGTCTCCGTTGCGAATCGCAGAGGATCAAGGTAAAGTACTACGACTGAAGAGTTAACAGCCACACGGTCGGCTGCAGCTTGTCGGGCTCGGGTCCGGACTCGGGACGGTGTGTTTCCCAGCCCAAGTCGGTCTGTCATTCTGTGAGCGCTAGCTAACAGTAGCAGCATTAGCACTGCCCCTGTATTTACATCTGGGATGATGGGTGATCGCCCAAGCCCGCCCAGGTAACGTTATCTTATTAGCACACATTTAAATTAGAATTTGATCTATTCACTGTTTTTATAAGGTTATTGTGTTTCATTTGCAAAGAAAGCTAGCTGGTGGTGGCTAATATGCTAAGGCTACATGTTCAACTTGAGCTAACCCGCGATAGTCGCAGCACTAACGTTCGCTAGCTAATTCAAATGTGGTTTTCTGGAATAAAGCTTTCCAACTTTGATAGAAGGTTAGATTGTTTCAGTGGTAATAATATTTAAATGTCTTGTGTGCTCTGACGAGATGACTAGCTAACGCTAGATGAGCTAAATTCAGACGAGTTGTAACGGTGTATCGTGAAGATAACGTTGCTAGCTAGCTAACGTTAGTGAGGTTATCGCGCTGTCAAGTTTTGAACATTATGCTGCTTGCTGCTGCCAGGCCCAACATGGCCAAGCTAACGCCAGCTCTCCTTAACGGATTGATTTTTGACCTTATGCAGCTGATGGCCTACTCTGCTGATAACAGTAAACATATAACTTCAAATTGCATTGTAAATGGATAGAATCTTTATTATGCTATTTGGCTTAGGTGGTGGCTTAGTGGATGCTCTTTCCACACACAGCTGATGTCAGAACGGACACTTGCAGTTTTTCTTATACATAAATGCTGATGTTTAATCCTCACAGGCTGAAAAGCTCAGCCAGTCTGTCCTGAGGTGAGTTTAGCTTTCCTGTGAAGTGAAGACAGGTGTGAAATGTGTGGTGATAATCAAGACTTTGGTTTTACATTAAGACACGATGTCAGACAAACCTCTTCTGAATATGTCACCAGTTTGTCATGGTTTCTTGTAAGTAATAGGCCAGCATTGCTTCAGCATCTTGACAGGTGTGTGTATTACCATCATCACTAATGGCACCACAGTGACATGGATGATAATAATAATGATCATCTTTATAGTATTTTTGAAACATAGTTACCACGTGTCTCACAAATGTAAGAAATGCAATATAATTATACAGTAAAACAAGGAAAAATTATAAATATGTACATATATGTATAATGTGCACAAGTGCACAATACCCATAAGATTAAACACAAATGATGCACACAATGTGCACATCTACATATGCATGACCACTTACGTATGCAGCCGTGCGCATGTCATGCGCAGGGATATGAGTAAACACGTATACGCATATTCAGATTTATAACATCCCTTTACTTATATATATAACTCATATATTGGCCATATACAGTTAAAAATGATCAGTACAGATGTAACATAACTCACAAAAACATTCCTGTAAAAGTGTTTTGAGACCAGTTGTAAAGAATACCCTGGCTTTGCTGACCTGAGAACATGTGGGAAGGAGTTCTATAGCTGTGGAGCTCAAATGGACAGTCACCGTTGATAAGATGTTGAAGCATGATGAGTGAGAGATATTGATGGAGTATATTAGACTGACTTCTTCTACCTCCTCAGTCGTGTGTGAGTGATAGCGACATGCCAGAGGCCAGGTGAGCTGTTAAATATTATGTAATGGGATTTGTATAGTTTTGGTACCCTGGCTCACCTCCAAGGTTACTGAGAGCAGGAGCAGCCCTGACTGAGATACTGTAACATCCAAAGTCTCCCATGTTTGTGGTGATAGCGGTGTAGTAACTGCCTCCTCCTTATCACTTCTGTATGGTGGTGTGAAGTGCATGTGTGTGTGTGTGTGTGTGTGCGCTTGAAAGTTGCTGAGTTCATTTGTTCTTGACTGTGAACAGTGTTAATGATCCCATGAGTGAATCACACCAATTAAGAGGTTCTGCAAGGGTGCAACATTCAGTTAATAGTGGCAGCTAGCAGAGCATATGAGTGGAGTAGAGCGGTGAGAATTTCCACTCCTTGTTCACTGAGCTGGTCGCACGCTCCACTCCCCTTCTCAAAGCTGCACCAGACCGCTTCGCCCCTTATTCCTTAGTACTCCCCTCAGATTGCACCCACTCACTCCAGAAAATGGAAAAAATTATGCATGTATTTCACTTTTAACTTAAACCGTAGCCTTACATCCCAAAGAGCTAAAGAACAAGGACAACTTTTTTTCAAATAGAAATGATTTATTTCAATTACAATTAGGCCTATGTAACAGGGAATATAACACAGTCATATGTACAATTTAACAAATCAATGTGCCCAAATAAAAAATATACAGTACACCTGTATGACCTTTTCTCTTTAAAGTATTTTAGGAACTCCATTGTTGCTCTTGTTTAGAGACATTCCTTTTCATTTCTTGAGTTAAGTCATTATGATTGAAAACGGTCAGTCGACTCCCTAATAATGTCAATATTTTGGGTCCTTTTCCTCTTCATTTTCATTTATCCAGTTTTAAAATATATTTTTCTCAGTTGTAGATATCGTCATTAAATATTAGCAGAGATGTGCTATAGATTAAAACAATTCATATAAATTGGTGCCATTTTAAAATGGAGCTAGTTATACCATGAGACTAGAATCACTTGCCACTCTGCCCAGCCCATCGTGAATGCCAAACGGTCACATAGTGTCACAGTTTGGAGTGAAATTCACCAAGTTAGTGGACATTAAAACACTGCATCTCACTGCGCTGACTGCCCTGCTTCATGTCTGCTGTAAACACAGCACAAATGCATAGCAACTGCTACGACGTGACAGGCGGACGTGACGCATTTGCAGCCAGCACAGTTTGTGAACGTTGGCAGAGACATAAGAGTAGGTCCTGTACATCCACAGAAAAGTTGTGTGGAGCTGTTTTGTATGGTTGCGTCACAAGAAACACTTACCCGGGGTGGCTGTGGCTCACGAGGTAGGGCAAGTCGTCTTCTGACCAGCAAGTTGGTGGTTCGGCTCCCGGTCTCCCCACATGCCTAAGTGTCCCTGTTGGAGTGAAATTCACCAAGTTAGTGGACATTAAAACACTGCATCTCACTGCGCTGACTGCCCTGCTTCATGTCTGCTGTAAACACAGCACAAATGCATAGCAACTGCTACGACGTGACAGGCGGACGTGACGCATTTGCAGCCAGCACAGTTTGTGAACGTTCAAAACCACTTCTGAAATTGAATAAAACCGCCAAGTAGGTGTGGGCGATGTAGCCTCAAAATTATATCACATTAGTTCAAGGAAATGAATGATAATGACATTTATGATAGAAAAAGGTGCAGAACAACTTTTTATCGGTGACTGCAGCTTGCAGGCAGCAGCATTTATTAGTGCAAACAAGATGAAGGGCATTTTCCATCCTTTTCAATTGAGCTACTGGGCTGTGGGGTTATAATAGAGGGGATTATGATTTATGGATTAGTTCTTGATTTCTGGCTAAAAGTGACAGCCAATTCTCATAAACTAAATGACAAGTTTTGTTTTTTGATAGTGAATGAAACTTACCAGTAGTGATGTGCAGACAATGGCCAAAACATAATAGTCTGGTCCAGTTACTGAGAGCGATGGCTTTAATAACATTGGCCCCACTGTCTATTGGCACACACACCTGTTCGTTCTCTTCTAGAACCCATGATTTAAGTAACTCCTTTTAACCACTCACAGTATTTTTGCTCGTGCGGTCACTGGTAAAGAAACTTATCACAAGGCAGGAGTTGTGTAGTTTCCAGCCGTTGTCGATATTGTGCACGGTCAGGCTGATACATGGTTCTGTCATTCAGCTCGACCACATGTCCATGGCTGAGGCAAAAAGGCAAGGCATCCAGGCAAGGATGTCTTTGAAAAATATTTTCTATCTGGGATGTTGTATCTTGGGTCAAGCTTTTTTAAGCAGTTGGCTGAAGCCCTCCTTTTCCAACGTGTGGATTGGCATCATATCCTTGGCCAAACAACATGTAACCACATCTGTTATTTCCATCTACCATTTGCTCTTTCTATCATATGGAGTGCTCCAGTAATGCTTGGGTGAATCATTTGATTACTTTTGGGCCGCACATCACCAGCTGCTGGTATCTCCTCCTCGTGTGCCTTCATAGCCTGGTTGTACTCAACAATGTGCTTTTGCTTCAGGTGGTGAAACACATTTGTTGTTTCCACCTTTAGTCATAACAGTTTTCTTGCATTTTTTTGCCAAGTACTCTGTTGGAGGCCTGACCTCTTGTAGCCAAACCACTTCCATACTGTTGAAGTAGCTCCCTATTTAGGTACTAGATTGTCATTGGAGGCCTCCTCCAAGACATTGGGTTTGTGTTGTTGTGTGCGCTAGACAACGTAAATGCATAATACGTCATCACGTTGCTATATCATTGATATGTGGCACACTTCTACTGCAGAGTGTGGCTAGCGTTGCATCATTGTAGCAGCTGAAGAGAGTGACACACGCCAGAGTAATACACCGCAGCTATAGCAGATGCCCAACTGGTGACCGAGAGCCAGAGTTTAGTGGAGACTAAAGCACATTCAGCTGGTGGACGTTCATGTAGTGATAGACAACCGTGAGCTCCCATCCATGATGGTGGGCCTTTCTGATTGGTTAAGAGTGTCATCCTTGTCAAAAACCTGGAGAAGAGGCTGTCTCTGCACTGCTGCCAGGCTGTTTGATGGGTCTTCTCATTAATACAATTTTTTTATGGGATGCTTGTACTGAAAGATATTTGAAAAATGTTACATACTGTAATCAGGTTCTGAAATGAACACCTGACAGGCATCAGATGCAGGTAGATTTTCTGTTTGGTGAGTAAATCTCAGAAAACTAACTGCCACACTGGTGGTTTGTAGCAAAATAGTGCTGTAATAAAGGTGTACTGGCAGTCTTGAATGTGGGCGCCCTGCTTCTGTCCCGGAAGTGATTAAAATAGGAGCATATCAGTTACACATGTCTTAAAAATGGCTCAAACGCTTTTGGTGTATACACAGTGTGACACTTAATGTCCCAGTCTGTCTGTATTTACAGTTGAGTGATGCAGTTCTCTTAATGTTGATTATTTTAGCAGAGTGAAATGAGGAGCGAGTTCCCCTGTAGCTGATTGTTTGTGTTATTTACATGAAAGTCCATTTCAGGCATGATACAGGAGATGGTGTCAGATACAGAGCTTTTGTGGTGAAATTCCTGGTAAAGCTTTGTTCAAACAGAGCAGGACCTAAGCCGGTATAGCCACAACATTGATGGGATATCCATCATCACCTGAGGTGCACACAGCAACGCCGGGTGTTACAAATAATAAAAGAAGGGAAAGGTTGTCCTCGGCAACATGGCGTTCAACGGTGAGGATGAATTGTGGGGTGGATGAAACACGGTGCTCAAGTGCATCCTGCGTAGCACTGTCATCACCTTGAGTGAGCCAGTGAGGAAGTCAGCTATTTGACTTCATGTCTGAAATGAGTTTTGCTTTCAGGTGAAGTATTCATGCCTAATATTGAATCAACAGTACTGTGCTGTTAGATTTTTGCAACTGTCTGGTTTTGAAACTTTGGACCACATATTAGATTATTGAGCTTCCCTCCAACCAGCCTCCTTTTTATGTCCTGTGTTTGTGTGCTCGCTCTGCCTTGCCAGTACCTATTTGTTGACTTCCTGGCGACCAGCCGCTCCCTCCCTCCCTCTCTCACTCCTCTTCCTCCCTTTCTGTGGCTCGCTGTGCCCCATCCTCTCTCCTTCCTCCTTGTTCTTTAATTCCACCCTCCCTGAGACTGTTTGGATGTCATCTGCTCTGTTATGTAAGAGGCATGAGAGGGGAATGGCTTTGGTGCTCTGGTGCTGTACACCCGACCAGCCGCTTTCGTCTTGCTCTCCCTCGTGTTTTGTGGCAGTATCGGAGTGTCTTCGCCATTAGCCGGCTAGTCAGAGAGAGAGAGAGAGAGAGAGGGAGGGAGTGATGGTTATACATGGGGATTCCAGTGCCCCCTTGCATAGGTAAGTTGTGTTAATGTTGTTACAGTTTTAAGATTCTCTGAGGCAGGTTGATTCTAGTTTTTTCGCTGCAGCCACAACAGCTCTTTGAACGTTGAGTCCCTGCTGTTTGAGATGTACAACTTCACAGATACAGCAGGAAGACTGTTGAGATCTGAATGAACCAGACTCTCTGTATTCAGTCACCTGTGAAGCAGCTGGTTGCATTAGGTTGTGGTGTGTGTGTCGGGATTGTATTCAAAATGTAGCTTGTGTCATTAAAAGTTGAGCCAGTTTTATTTATATTACATAAAAATCACATTTAAAGGGCTTTACAGTACTAGAGCTGCAAGTACTGATTATTTTCAGTATCACTTAATCTGCTGATCATTTTCTTGTTAACCCAGTTAACAATTTTATCTTTAAAATGTCAAAAACAGAGAAAAGCCTTTATAATTTTCCAGAGTTCAAGGTGACATCTGCACCTTTTTTGTTGTCAAACCACAAAGATATTGATTTTAGTGCCGCATCTAACAGTTTTTCCATAATTTCTTAATTTGCTGATTAACTCTTCATCATTTTGTTGACACCATGCTCCCACTGAAAGTGATTCACTTTTCTTTCTGGTGTGACAAAGAGAAGCATTTAATCTTCATATTTGTGATATTAGCAAAGGCAAATATTTGAGGTTTTTGCTTGAGATGAATGAATGGCAGCACAGTGTCCAGACTTTGTAGGTGAAGAGTGAAAGCAAAGCAGCCGACAGGTACAACACACCTGTGGGAACGTCTGCAGCAGTGCTGTCTATGTTTGGTTTCAGATGTAGACAGAACGTTACAGGTGGATGTGGATTACACTGATGACAACCGGTAACACTGAGGTGACCTCAAGCCTTTGTCTGGTAGTGTAGTAACTATATTGATAGTTTGTGAAAGGCCTTTACTGTCTGTGTGTCCCAGTGTCTGTCTGCTCTGTTTTACATGAGGCCTGGTGGACATACTGCTTGACTGTCTGTGTGTCTTGGACAGAACATTTCACAGTACTGTCTGCAGCATCTCATTCATGTCGTATTATTACCATACTTTCCGGACTATAAGCCGCTACTTTTGTTGCTTCATGCACACACCCTCATCATGGACAACACACGACAAAATGCATATGATGCTGCTTCAAGTTACAGGTGATTGATCTAGCTGTCGAAATATCTCATGTTACAACGTGGACACCTGCGGCTATGTACAACATGTTTTTTCGTCTTACATTTAGTGGGTGTGGCTTATTGTCCGGAAATTCCGGTAATGATTTTTGCTTGAGCTCTAACTTGTTTCTTCCTAGGCCTTCATGTCACCCAGCTGAGTGAGTGAGGACTGGTGTAGGACCTGTCCTCTCCTGTCACCAGGGACTTCAGTTTTTGTTCTGTGTGCTTAACTCCTGGAAGTCTAGCCATGTGGTTTGCATATAACCGGGGACTGGTTGATCCTGAAAGTTCATATTGACACCGGTCGCTCTACAAATGGCAGTGTTAGTTTGTCTGTCTGGTGCTTTCAAGTAAAGTGACATATCTAAACCGCTGGATGGGTTGCTGTAAAATGTAGTCTAGACATTTAGGGTCTCCATTTTGTGCCATCAACAGGTCAAAATTTACATATGTCCAACACTTGGGCTTTTAAAGGGATACCACCAGATTATGGTATTAATTTGTCAGCCCTGCTGGGCCTTCATCTGGCAAATGGACACACACTTTACTGGGCTGTGGATTTAATTTTACATGGATCAAATTGCCATTTTTGCCCATCGATCTCCACTCGGTCACCAATAATGACAAAGTGGAAAAAGATTTTTGTAGCTTTATTAAAAATCAAAAACTGAAATCTGTTACAGAAGCATCCAGGCCCTTTGCTGTGGCACTCGCACTCATTCGCCCCACACGTCGAGTCTCACTGACCCCTCACCAGATGGTTCGTTAGGCTTTTCACTTTTATTTTTTCCAAGCATTTCCTTCTGGGTGTAGTTCAGAAAAGTAGTTGAGTTTCCAGTCAGAAGTGTGACTGCTGCTGCTTGGTTTGTTGTTACTACTTTGTTAGACATTTCTTGTTACATGTAATCAGCAGCCAGCACACAGCAGTGGACGTTTCCTCAGCTTCCTCCCACTGTGGCGACAACCCGCAGCCGCACAGCCAGCTCCATTGTTGTGGGTAGACGCGGGTTTTTTTTGTTGTTGTGTGAGTGTGATGGTTCACTGGCAGGTAAGAAGGCGGTGTGCACACAGACTGTAACCAGGCTTCAGCTACGCCCTTCGTAGTCTCACATGCTGTCTGTGCTGGCTCTGCAAGTTTGTTATGAGACCATAAATGCTGCAGGAAGGAGGACTGATGCAGTGCTGAGAAGTCAGTGGGGATGTTGTTTCCTTTCTTTTGTTTTGTTACATGCACTCACTACCATGAATGAACTAAAGCCCGTAGAGCTGCTTGAAATGTGTTTGCTGACAAAGAAACATTTGGCTTTTTAGTCCTTTATTTAGTGTCTTTTTTTTTAGTAATTTAACAATGAACACCAGGGCTCCTTACTTACTGAGTTGATGAACCTTGCAGGCTCTTAATAATGGAGTTAACTTTAATAGGAATCAAGTTCAACAGAATAAACAGAAGTTGAACCTGATTTTTAGCCCCTGAATATTATCTCCTTGTCAAGTCTCAAGCATCTCATAAACTTGATGTCTGCCTCTGAGAATTCACAACTGAAGCCCAGTTTGATTTCAGTACAGTTGTGGTTCATCATGTTGCCCTCAGTGAACTGGCAGCTCTCTAAACACATGTCTAATGTGACTGTATTAACAGCTCCCCCCTGTGTGTTTCTCCCCACAGGGCTATGTCCTCGGCCGCCGCCACATCTCCATCTGTGGACAAAGTGGATGGATTTTCACGGAAGTCTGTCAGGAAGGCCAAGCAGAAGCGGTCGCAGAGTTCGTCCCAGTTCCGCTCTCAGGGCAAACCCATAGAGCTCACCCCCTTGCCACTGCTCAAGGGTAAGAGGGAGCCTGTGTGTGTGTGCGTGCGTGAATGTCGGCACTGGTGGGGTGCAAGGTTGGGTGGGGGGGGTGGTTGGTTACTTAGCCAAATGCTAATTAACTGCTTAAATACACTTGTATATTGCTTTTAGTTTAATATGAAGAGGACAAGGACTTTTTATCATCATCACAATTACATTAATACCTTGCAGTACTTTGCTACATGCAGTGACATGAAGTTACGTTTCCCAGGGGCTTTTGTGAGATGAAATGTAGTTTGATTCCTGCAACATTGATAAGAAATAAATAAAGCAAGAAATTTCACTGCAGTGTGAGTCGTCCACATGATGGACATAAATCATCCAGTCAATCAATAAATCATAAGTGAGATGGAGTTAAAACACAAAGGACAGCCCCAGTATATGTACAAAGAGATTGCAGTTCAATATTGGAATAGCAGTGATGCTGGATGGGGTGTTTATATCATTAAAAATCTATTATTATTAATCCATCCATCCTCTTCCACTTATCTGGAATCGGGTCACGGGGGCAGCAGTCTAAGCAAAGATGCCCAGGCTTCCCTCTCTCCAGACACTTCCTCCAGCTCCTCTGGGCCAGCCGAGTGACATAGTCCCTCCAGCATGTGCTGGGTCTTCCCCGGGGCCTCCTCCCGGTGGGACATGCCCGGAACACCTCCCTAGGAAGGCGCCCAGGAGGCATCCGAAACAGATA